CACCATTCACACTAACAGATTTTAGATCAAATACAGTGTTAGGAGAGTACTATTCTTCTACTGTTGAATTTGGACTTAAAAAAAAGACAACATTCAGTGATGTCTGATGACCTTAAAAAGGGGCAGCTTTTTCCTGGAACACTGATTTAGCACAAAAGCCAGCAGTCCCAGTGTGTGATTTAGAACAGGATGGAAATGAATAACCACCAATGGAAGAAAAGGAAACATGCTCTTAACATCTAAGTCAGTACTCATTAATATCAACGGCCTATTAAATGCTAAGCCTTTCTCTTGTTGTACTGTAATGTATTGCTTATTAAGAGCCATTTGGATTATAGACACAATTTTAAAAAAGATTTAGAATATTTTAATCCTGAACGCCTATTAAAAGAATGGAGGGTGAGTGATTCTTGTTTTCAATGGGACATAGCATGATTTCTACCTAAATGCCCTGTAGAATCCACTTAGAGTGTAGTTGTTTGCATGGGTCATACGTGATGATGAAATGGTCTCTGAAATAGTCAGGACCTAATCTCTTAAAAGATCTTTGTAGATTCAAAAGGCATGCAATTGTGAATCATATGGAGTCAGATGGAGACAGGGTAACACCAGCGTTACATATTCATGTTGGTCATCTTTACTTCATTAACATGTGCTCCTTGGTTCGGTGCTTAAATACTGTGGTGAGAGACTCCTTAGAAATATATACTTTATTATATGCACATGTGCCTTTTTCCTTTTCTGAGAAGACTATAGATGACTAAGGATGGGAGGTTGACTTCATGTGATCTGTAGGAATGAGGTAGGATCCAGGTGAATTAACTAAATGATTTAAAGATTATCAGTTTTTAATTTCCTGGAAGTAGTTGCACACATGTAACTGAACTGTGGAACTCATTGCCCTATGAAGATACTGAAGCCATGTTCTTATCCAGTCCCTCCTTTAATCCAGGTATCAAGACTATCCAGAGGTGTTATCTTTTATTAGAATATATTTGTGATATATTTAGAACCAGTTTTCATATTTCAAGGGCTGAAGCTATTTCTAACTATTGGAGATTACAATGAGATCTGCTGTGGGTGGAAATGACTCCTCATCAGCCTAGCCCTATTACATGGTTGTGACACCTTTCCCTGAAGAGTCTCCTGGAAGGGAATGAAGACAGAATACTGGACTAGATGCACCCAAATCTGATCTGTGATGGCAGTCCCTGTGTACCTGTGATTAGGTGTGGAAGGGTATTTTAGATAAGGAAGTGTTGACTAGTTCTGAGTGTTGACAAGTTGTGGTGAAAAGAGAATGAAGTAGAGATCAGTTACCTACTCCTGCACAGTTAAAGTCACTGCATACTGCATAGTGAATGTACCTGGCAATTTACTCACTTCAAGCATTCAGAAAGCATGAGTTAGCTCTCTCCAAAATAATAATATTAAAATAAAATGGTTTCTCTTTATTGGTTTTCTGGTCTCTCAAGATTTGTTTAGGCTTAAAGCCTGTTTTCAAGCTTTTCTCCATGGACATAAGCCCTAGAAACATTTTTCCTCTAAAAAGTGAACATTACAATTCTTATATAATCCTATGATTCTGGGTCCTGAAACTTCAGGGAAAAATAATAAATATAATTAGAGTGGCAATACTCAGCTATAAAGAAATAGGCATAAGAGCAGGGTAGCTGACAACGAATTGGGCATGTAGTGGTATAATAAGTGAATAAGGTGAGCATTTGACTGGTCAGAAACTAAGTTGACTGTAATAGACTAGAGTGTGTGAGAGTTTCAAGAGATGATGAAATGAGCAGGAGGTGCAACTGGCTGGGAGTTGGGTGGTATCAGGAACCGTGTATTTTTGATGGACAGTAAAGTTGCCTGTATTGTACACATGTGGATTCCCAGTGATGCTTTTGGCTTTGTCCTCTCCTTCCCAGACCTGGAAAGCTCTGTTTATACCATCGTCCTGGGTTCCTTTGCATCCTCTGCTTAAGTTGACACCTTGTCCCAGTTGTGTCAACACGATGATGAGAGGTATTTATACTAAGTACAAAGGGATAGAGAAGCAGGGAGAAATCCCACACATGTACAGCCTTCTGTCAGGGTGCTATAATGTGTGTGTGCATGTGTCCAGGAAGGGTGAACTTACTTTTTCATAATAAATCCAGTTAAAAAAATATGAAAAGTTAAAATCTAGGGGTAACAGGCAGAGAGCTGATGAACATTGAGTCACTTTCTGTACTTTGGGGTCAGAATATGATTTTTGAAGCCAAAGTGAAGTGAAATCACAAGAGATTAAATGTATTTTTCTACCTGAATCATGCTAAATTTTCCCCAAATTTCATTACGTGACTAAAAACCACTTACATCTGCTTTTCTTTAAATGGAAAGTCTGAACTCCCACAGTATCACAAACACATATTGCATATATCTGTAACTTGGCCCCCGCTGGGTTTTGCCAATACTAGCATCTAAATAGAATATTAATATTGCTGCTGTTCCTGGTGTGGAAAAATCCAGGCCTTTTTGCAAATTGATGCATAAGATATTAAGCACCTAATCCTCACAATTTTAAAAGCTCATTCTGGGGAAAAAAAATTCTCAGATGTACCTAAATTCCCCAAAATCCAGATCCCAGTTCATTCAATCATATCCAATGTATTACGACTTTCCAACAGAGTCTATTTGTCACTTAAATCTGCTGTTAAAATGTTTTAAATGATAGAAGATGTCCAGGAACTCCCCTAGACAGCTATGAGAACCCTAATAAAGAGCTGACCAGCAAAAACACTTTCTACAATCACTTATATTTGCTAGACCGCTTCCACTGCAAAATGTCATGGGATGAAATTTGGCTGTATGAAAAAAAAAGATAAAAATGTCAGATCTGGGTTGCTGTGACTTCAGTAAAATGCAGTGCACTGGGTACAGATTTATTTGCTGACTGCCCTGGCTGTCTGTCTACAGAGAAACACTTTGGGGAGCTCGGTGAAAACAAAATGAGCAAGGCCCTGTTGTACCTACCTCCACAGTTGGATTTGTCAAGCGCTCCTGTACCAGGATCAGGTTTTTTTTTTACACTTGAGAGGGAGCAGCCACTGTGTTTGTCCCTTGTCCATGCAGACCACAGAGGTCTGCAGGCAAAAATATGCTGGATCCGGCAGCTGCCAGAAGCCTGCTTTGTGAGCCTCTTGCACTGGGAATGTTTCTAGCTAGAGGGTTTGCCCCTCTGGTCAGGGTCAGACCAATCTCTATATCTGGGGTCAGGAAGGCAAATGTTCCCCATGGGGTAAGATTTAAATCTTATTATTTTGGAGAGAGCTAAATCACGATTTCTGAATGCTTGAAGTTAGTGAATTGGCAGGTGCATTCACTATGCAGTTACTTTAACTGTGCAAGAGAAATGAACTGATCTCGGGTTCTTCTACTCAGATCTCCCAAGTGTGGGCTGACAACATTTCACAGCAGCAGGAGTTGGCTGCCCTGCTTCCCCTGGGGCAGGTTGGGTGGTATTTAATAGGAGGGTTGCCGTTTTTATCTGTCCATTGCTGTTGCAAAATAAACAACTAGGAGGGGCTGGACCGCTAGGAGGTCCCTTCCATCCTTAAACTGCAGTGAATCCGTGTGTGAATGTCAGCTTGAGGGCAGCCTCCAGACAATGATTGGGATGCATGAATGCCGCATGCCCCTGGAGGCTGGGAGGGTCACGGTGACCGCCTGCAGGCGGTGGTGAGGGCCTGGCGGTGGCGGGTGAGGAGCTGTTGCAGGCAGCCATGGTGGTGTTGGGGGCATGACGGCAGCGAGCTGGGAGCTCCTGCAGGCAGCCATTGCAGTGTTGGGGGCATGGTGGCAGCCAGCGGGGAGTTCCTGTAGGCAGCCATAGCTGTGTTGGGGTCAAAGCGGCAGCAAGTAGGGAGCTCCTGTAGGCAGCCATGGCAGTGATGGGGGCATGGCAGTGGTGAGTGGGGCGCTCCTGCAGGCAGCCATGGCGGGGTTGGGGGCACGGCGGTGGCGAGCGGGGAGCTCCTGCAGGCAGCCGTGGCAGTGTTGGGGGCATTGCGGTAGCAAGTGGGGAGCTCCTGTAGGCAGCCATGGTGGTGATGGGGGCATGGCAGTGGTGAGTGGGGCGCTCCTGCAGGCAGCTGCAGTGGTGTTGGGGGCATGACGGCGGCGAGCAGGGAGCTCCTGTAGGCAGCCATGGCAGTGTCGGGGGCATGGCAGCAGTGAGTGGGGAGCTCCTGTAGGCAGCCATGGTGGTGTCGGGGACACGACGGTGGCGAGTGGGGAGCTCCTGTAGGCATCCATGGATGGTGGTGTTGGGGGCACGGCGGTGGCAAGTGGGGAGCTCCTGTAGGCAGCCATGGTGGGGTTGGGGGCACAGCATTGGTGAGCAGGGAACTCCTGCAGGTAGCCCTGATGGTGAGGGGGGCATGGCAGTGGCGAGTGGGGAGCTCCTGCAGGCAGCCACAGTGGTGTTGGGGGCATGACAGCGGTGAGCAGTGAGTTCCTGTAGGCAGCCATGGTGGTGTCGGGGACACGACGGTGGCGAGTGGGGAGCTCCTGCAGGCAGCCACAGTGGTGTTGGGGGCATGACAGCGGTGAGCAGTGAGTTCCTGTAGGCAGCCATGGTGGTGTTGGGGGCACGGCATTGGCGAGCAGGGAACTCCTGCAGGTAGCCCTGATGGTGATGGGGGCATGGCAGTGGCGAGTGGGGAGCTCCTGCAGGCAGCCATGGCGGTGTTGTTGGCACGGCGGTGGCGAGTGGGGAGCTCCTGCAGGCAGCCACAGTGGTGTTGGGGGCCTGATGGTAGTGAGCAGGGATCTCCTGTAGGATGCCACGGTGATGTTGGGGGCACGGCGGTGGCGAGCGGGGCACTCCTATAGGCAGCCATGGCGGTGTTGTTGGCACGACGGTGGTGAGTGGGAGCTGCTGCAGGCAGCCGCGGTGTTGTTGGGGGCATGGCGGTGGTGAGTGGGGAGCTCCTGCAGGCAGCCATGGCAGTGTCGGGGACATGGAGGTGGTAAGCGGGGACCTCCTGCAGGCAGCCATGGCGGTGTCGGTGGTGAGGGGGAGGGGTGTGGCAAGCACTTACTGGTGGTCGGTGACCACCTGCAGATACCGCCTGCCGAGATTGGGGACTGCCCGCAGGTGCCAGCGGCAGGGGCCCCGGGGGGGGGGGGGGGGGGGGGGGGTGGGGTGGGGAGCTCCCTCAGGCGACCGCGGCAGGGGAGAGTGGGGTGGTGACCACTTGCAGAAGCCACCGGCAATCAGGGACCGCCTGCAAACGCCGCTGGCGGTGTCAGCAAGGAGGCAGGGGGCGAGTGGTGACCGCCAGCAGCGTTGGCAGCACTTCTTGCAGGGGGTGCACCTGCCAGTGACGGGATGGTTCGCACAGGAGACGTGGGCAGGGTGTCTACACTTGAGGACAGTCCAGTCCTCTATTGATACGAAACCAGACGCCTCTACGTCCCCTATTTTTAAAACAGAGGACACGCAGGCGTCGGGTTCCTTCAAGAGAGATGCAGAGGGCAGAAAGTTGCCCGGTTTCGTGCCTCTGCAGGACAGAGGAGCAGGACCCCGGCGGTCCTGTAAAGCGACCGCTCTGCACGTGAGCCCCGAGTCGCGGGGCGGCTCTGGCGGGCGCCCGGCGCCGGCTGCGCGCGCTCCTGCCTCCGCGGC